GCAGAGGCAGAGGGAGAAGCAGGCTCCCTGCCTCTGCCTGCCATTCTATCTGCCTGTGCTCACTCTTGCTCTCTCTCTCTGACAAATAAATAAAATCTTAAAAAAAAAAAGAAAGAAAAAAAAAGAAAAAGACAGTTATCATATGATCTTACTCATGTGGAAATTAAGAAAGAAAACAGAGGATCATAGGGGGAAGAGAGGAAAAAATAAGATGAAATCAGAGAGGGAGACAAACCATAAGAGACTCTTAACCACAGGAAACAAACTTAGGATTGCTGGAGGGGAGGAGGATGGGGAGATGGGGTAATTGGTGATGGACATTAAGGAGGGCATGTGATGTAATAAGCAAGGTATTACAGGAGACTGATGAATCACTGACCTCCACCTCTGAAACTAATAATACATTATATGTTAATTAACTGACTTTAAAGTAAACAAACCACAGTCCAAACAAGACTGAATCATTGCACTGTATTTGGCCTTTTCTATCTTTTTATTCTTGACTACAGCCCCCTCTATCCTTTTTCTTTACAACCCTATAGAATTATCAGTATTAAAAAAAAAAAAAAAATCAGGGGTGCCAGCCTGGGTTAGTTGGAAGAGTGTGCAAATTTTGACCTCAGGGTTGAACTCCCATGTTGTGTGTAGAGATTACTAAAAATAATTATATAAATAAGCTTAAAAAAGTCAGAGTACACCCAATAAGAGTACTATGTTATGGAATTTGTTTATTTACTTTTTTTTGGTTAAATAAACTCTATACCCAATGTGGGGCTCCAACTCATGACCCTAAGATCAAGAGTCACATGCTCTACCAAAGGAGCCAGAAGGGTGACCCTTGGCCCTTAATCTTTTTGTACAATTCTGAATAACTTTGGTTTTGAAGAAAACCAAAATGTCCCTACCCCAAAACCTCAGGAAATGGAAAGCTTTTTAAAAGTCTGGAATGTACGGGGGCACCTGGGTGGCTCAGTGGGTTAAAGCCTCTGCCTTCGGCTCAGGTCATGATCTCAGGGTCCTGGGATCGAACCCCGAGTTGGGCTCTCTGCTCTGCGGGGAGCCTGCTTCCTCCTCTCTCTCTGCCTGCCTCTCTGCCTACTTGTGATCTCTGTCTGTCAAATAAATAAATAAAATCTTTAAAAAAAAAAATCTGGGATGTACTTATTTCTCAGTTAAAACCTAACCTGGACTTATAGGACGCTTTTTAGTCTTTATTCCTCTTTAGGTGAATATTCCAGAAATATTAATTTATTTCAGAAGGGGATGTGGCCTCCTGCCTAGCTGAGATGATATGTAATGTATGGTTTATGGGTCATGTTACCTTCCTAATACCTGAAACTTCTGAATTCAGAAGCTCATTGGATTCCAAAAGTTTCAGATTAGGGATTATGGACTTATATATGTACTGGACCAACACTGATTTTATTATTGTTAAAATGTCTAGAAAACACAGGAGATAAAACGTATCTCCAAATGCTGACCTTTTACGGAAGTTTCTATTTCTGAAACAGGTTCTGATTTTTCTTCTCCATTAGATTCATCAACTTCTGCCACTGTTGTTAACTCAGGTTCACTCTTGTAGAGTCTATAATCTGGACCCTTGAAAGGAACATGTGCAATTTCAAAACAAAAAACAAAAAACAAAAAACTGGTACAAGTTTCTTTTATAATGTTTACCTCTAAAGCCTTAAATCAAACCCTGAAAATTAAAAGCCTCTGTCAGCTATCTTGGGTACAGGCACAACCGATATATATATATATATATAACAACATAACAAAAAAATATCTGAAATATTTTTAACCAGCAAAAGTTTCAGTTTTCAAATTAAGAATATTCTTATTAGGGACAAAGTCATTAGAGCATTTTTTATCACAGCACATCTGAAGTCTGAAAATAAATACATCATATTAATTCAATTAGCCCTATTCCCTATCCCCTTCATTCTCTTTTGGCTTACCACATTTTACATTTATTTGTTTAACCCCAAACCTCTTATTTCCAGCTTCCATGGGTAACATCTCTCCTTGGCAATGTCCACATCCTCTAATAGTTCTCCTAGGTGGAAGTGCCCATATCCTAACCCTTTTATCATTCCTAGCAGCAATCTTTTTTCATTCTCACTTCTTTCTGATCCAAAGATATTTTGCCTCTAATATCCTGAAATGCTATTATTAACCACTTTACAAAAACATTTATTAAAAATACGAAATTATGAAGTATTAAAATTGTAAAAAAATTTAAAAAAATGAGAATGGTAGAACCAAAACAGGAAAAACACAAATGATAACTATATATAAACAAACAGATAGAAAAAACATTGGCTAAAAGTGGGGTTATGATAAAAAAAAAAACCAAAAAACGTTTGAGTGTAAAATAAATTAACTTTAAAAATCAGGTATATGATTGATTATTCTGTGGCTACTGAAGCCACTTACACAGTGAGATCCATTTCTTGGATATCCTTGAACTTGATGAATCTTCTTTTCTTCAGGCAGATGGACTGGGCCCCTGCTATAACAGAGCAAGGAGCTGCTATCACTGGGCAGAGGGGGGATTATGGGAGGCTGCTCTGTAAAGTCATAGGACCGAGGAAGTGGAGGACGAGGTGGGACTACTTCCTCTTCCTAAAGATTGTAGAATAGTCACCTTATTTAGATAAGCACATTGAATTAAGTATATCTAAATTCTTTGCAATGGTAAGTTAACTTAAATTCACTTTAAGGTAATTAAAGGGATACTGCCAAGCCAAAGTCTCATATTGAACAGTAAGATAAAAAATGCAAAGTATGATAGCCAGTAACTGGATCTTAAATCTGGCCTTATCTAATTTTTTTTTCTGTAACACACAGGTTAGCTTTCATCTGAAGCTTAGCATCAAAATAGATGTATAAAACTACTGTTATTTCACTTTAAAAATAGAAGAAAATAATTAATTTAAAAATCTTACTATTTTTTTTTTGTAATTTTAATAGACCAAATAAAGAAAAATTTCTTTTTGATTGGTTTTAATACAAAATTCAAGACCACGGATGCTTTCCATCAGGTTGACAGTATCTCTTTGTAGTTGTAATTTCTCTAATGGTATGCATGACACACAGCCAACTTATCCATCAATCATCCTACAAATTTTATGAAGAATAAGAAACAATGATAAATATTCAAATCACTTATATTAGAAAAAGTATGACAATGTTAAAGTTCTAACACATATGAAAAGTAGTGATTCCATTTTTTTTTTTTTTGCATTAAGGGAAGAAAAACCACATCTGTTAGAAGTATCAAATTACTGAATTAGAGAAATTTCAAGATTAAAACAATACCTTAAATATATTTAGGAAACATTTTTGTTATGAAGAGAAGACAAATTCTAATTCATGTGTTACGCATTTAAAATAATTTAGATATCGATAGACAATCCAAACTTACCTCATTTTTGTACTTAACTGTTGAGAAAGGCTTTGACCCTGCCATACCTGTTAAAAAAATTATAAAATATTAACTACTTATACGAAACAATTTAAATCTACAAAAAAAGAAATAATTTCATCTCACTTATTTTATTTTTAAAGACTTCATTTTTAAGTAATCTCTACACCCAAAGGGGGGCTTGAACTCATAACCCTGAGGTCAAGAGTCACATGCTCCTTTGACTGTGTTAGCCAGGCGCCCCCATTTCATTTATTTGAAATGAAGCCTTCAGTTTCTAATCCCTTTTTTAATTAATGTTTTCAGGATTTGAAACCAATTACATTTAAAAATACAAATTGAAATACAAATTAAAATATGTTTAAATAAGAGTACCAGGAAATAGGTTTTCTGAAGCACTACTGACTGATATAAGCATAATTCAGTACAATTTTTTAGAAGGGCAATGTGGCTGTGACTATCAAAATGAGAGATATGTGCTCATTTCCAGCTTCTTGTGATACATAAGAACTAGCATGTGCATTTAGTTATACATACAATAACACACACACACACACACACTAATATATACAATTACAGCATGGTTTATGACAGAAAAAAACAAACAAATCCCAAACCTGGAAACAACCTACACGTCCAACAACAGAGAAATGGATACATTAGAGTCCATCTATACAATGGATTCTTACACAGTTATTATTGCACTGTACTGTTCAGGAGCCAAAACCAAATTGCTGAAAAATAAGTATACAATGATTCCATTTTTTGTTGTGGGGAAAAATTCATAAAAGCAAAACGTTATGTGTGTGTATAATTATACACAAAAAACAGTAACTAATTTTTGTTGTGAACTTTTGCTTTTTTGTTTTATAAATGTGTGTACTGATTCAATGTTACATGAAGGCCTGTTTTCTGATGCCAAAAATCCATTCAAATAACAAAAAGAAATCCAATTCTATGTGTCATTCCATTTACTCACTTGTTTGTTTGCTTATTTATTTAAAAAGTTTACTTATTTATTGTAGAATAATCTCTACATCCAACACGGGGCTTGAACTCACAACCCCAAGATCAAGAGTTGCAATGCTGTTCTGCCTGAGTCAGCCAGGTGCCTCGTGTCATTTCACTCAGACATCAGATTATGGTCAATTACTGCGAAAAGTTGATTCACCTGTTTCTGTGGTGCCTCTTTGCTGTTTGTGTTTACTCAGTCCTTCCATGACATCCTGAATTCTCCAAAGTTCTTTCTGAATCTGTGCACGCTGAATTCCTGCTGATTCAGTCTTTCAGGAAAAAGAACCCATATATAGGGGGAAAAAAAAGTTGTAAATTCCACTAATTACATATTTTAAAAAGTGAGAATTGCAGTGGATCAAATTTTGAGAATATTTAGTATGATCTATTTGACTCTCCCAAATTTTGCAACATCTGTGGCCTTTGATGAAACAGAGAGAGAAAAAATTCAATTTCTCAGACTTAAGTGCACTATTTCACATCTCTTCAATAAGCTTTGCCTTGCATTACTGCTGGTCACAAGGGACTGAAAAATAGAAAACAGAACAAAATAGAAACTCACAAAACTCAAGTTAAAAAAAATTTTTAAGGGAGAAGAAAAAAGAAATGGGAAGTATTCTAATTTCCTAAGTTCTAGAAAATGAGATCATATCGGTTTTTGACAAGATTCTAATAGAACTCTGACTTATTGATAGTTTGGGTAACAAGAAATATCATTTTTTGGAATATAAATTTATTTAAAAAGGGGGGGGGCAATGAAGTACAAAACTGTCACATTGACCAGAAAAATTTTTTTCACTGAGTATCAGTTTTTGACAACTGAAGATACTAGAATACAGTCAATACAGCTAAAGTCCTCTGAGGGGTGAAAACATGCTTTTAAAGTCTATAAACATATAGATTATGCTACGCTGCTTCAGAAAGGCACTATGTAACCTTAGTTATCCAGTTTTCCAAGCCACAGGGCTGGAAGCATCAAAATAAAAGAAGGAAGTATTCACACAAGACCCAAACACAAGAACAAGCCAGGGATGTGAATACTGACACAGACTTCTAGGGAGTGAATTTCAATGATAAAAATCAGATATATGCACATGTATATAGGATACATATTATTTTTGCAATAATTAAAACATTTATGAAAGTTTTACCTATCTGGAAGGTGTACAATGAAAATCTCATTTTTTATTATTTTGCATTTTTCTGATTCCTGGTGACTTTGAACAATATTCAAACACTTGTTAGCGATCTGTTCTACTTTCTATAGGTTAACTAGTCATGTTCTCTGTCCACTTTCCTAACGTATTGCTTCTCCAAGTCAAAAAGAAATTTCCTTGCAGATCAGAATAGTCTTGTTGAATTTTAGTGGTCAACAATACTTCTTGCCAACATGCCATCTTTTAAGTTTGTTTATGTTGCCCTCATTGTTTGCTTATTTACTTAATTTATTATTATTGTTTTTAAAGGAAGGTCCACGCTCAATGTGGCGCTTGAACTCACAACCTCTAGATTAAGTCACCTGCTCTACCGACTGAGCCAGCCAGATGCCCCATTTAGTTATTTATTTAATAAACACTTACAGTTTATTTTATGTGCCTGATACTATTCTAACTGATTCAAGAATATCAACATATTTAGTCATTACAATACTGATAGAGGTAGGCACTATTATTTTTATTTTACAGTTGTGAATCCTAAAGTGCAGAGTCATTATGTAACTGGTCTATGTGCAGTGCTATATCTCATAGAGTGGGCCTTCTAGTTCTTTCTTTTTTTTTTAAAAAGATTTTATTTATTTATTTGACACAGAGAGAGAGAGATATCACAAGTAGGCAGCGAGGCAGGCAGGAGAGGGGAAGCAGGCTCCCTGGCAAGCAGCGAGCCTGATGCGGGGCTTGATCCCAGGACCCTGAGACCATGACCCGAGCCAAAGGCAGAGGCTTAACCCACTGAGCCACCCAGGTGCCCCTAGTTCTTTATTTTTTCAAAATAATAACTACTGTGGCCTTCATATACCTTTAAAACATTAGTATCATTTTGCTAATTTTTTCAAAGAAAAAGGAAATCTGGTCGAACAGAATTTGAGTTTATACAAAGAATTTTCATTGAGAGAATGTTAAATCAGGCCATCCATGGACAAGGGTTACCAATTCCACTTCTCTATTTATTCAAGTCTTATGCCCTATAATGTAGATGTTACATTTTCACGATGAATGTTTTTGTTAAGCTAAATCAGGTAAACTGCTGTGGCCTAAGAGCTAAAAATGAATTTTTACAACTTTAATATCTGCTCTTTCACAGAAAGTTTGCTGACCCCTGGGTTATTTCTTAGATATTTCAGGTTTTTGTTTTTTTTTCTTTTTCTTTCCCTACCGTAGTTAGTATTAACCCCACTGCTCAATATAGAAGTCACAGCCACATGTGGTTCCTTAAATTTAGATAACTAAAATGAAATAGAATTTAAAATTCAGTTTCTTGGGGCGCCTGGGTGGCTCAGTGGGTTAAGCCTCTGCCTTCGGCTCAGGTCATGATCTCAGGGTCCTGGGATCGAGCCCCACATCAGGCTTTCTGCTCAGTGGGGAGCCTGCTTCCCCCCCTCTCTCTGCCTGCCTCTCTGCCTACTTGTGATCTCTCTGTCAAATAAATAAATTAAAAAAAAAAACTTAAAAAAAAAAAATTCAGTTTCTTGTTACACTGGCAACATTTCAAGTTCCCAACAGTAGCATGTAGCCAGTGGCTACTATACTGGACAGCACAGATGGAGGACAGCTGGTTTTCTAAGAGTCAAATTTATTAACCTTTAGTCCTTGTATTGACTTGTCTGTTGGTTCAGAAAGTTTCCAATGCAGATGGTTAAATTTATATAGTCACAAGCATGAAGTGACTTTTACTTTATTTTTATCATTTATGTTTATTGAACATTTATTATCTCCCTTTCTCAGGGGAACACTTTAAGACAGCTATATTACTGTTTATATTTTAAGACAAGAAAATTAACCCCTGGAACTTGATTCCAGATGTGACTATTCACAAAACTGGATTCTTTATGCTAAGCAGTGCTGCATCTTTCACACCATATCAAAAGTCAACAGGCTAAAATAGTTTGATAAAAAAAGAGGCATTTAATATAGAATGCATTAGAATAAGTTTTTATCATTTTATTTTATTTATTTTTAAAAGATCTTATTTATTTGACAGAGAGACATCACAAGTAGGCAGAGAGGCAGAAGCAGGATCCCTGCCGAGCAGAGAGCCTGATGTGGGGGGCTTGATCCCAGGACCCCGGGATCATGAACTGAGCGGAAGGCAGAGGCTTTAACCCACTGAGCCACCCAGGTGCCCCTTATTATTTTATTTTTAAGTAATCTCTATAGCCAACATGGGGATCAAATTCACAACCCCAAGATCAAGAGTTGCACACTGTACTGACTCAGGAGGCCAGGAGCCCTGGATTAGAACAAATCTTATAAAAAGAAAAATTACCCTTTATTTGGTAAATCCATTTAATTCAATACTTCAATGCTAACTTCAATATAGGCAGGCAGGAGCAAAAACATGACACGGATCATACCATGTGCCAAAAGAAAAAAGGACTTTTAAACAAGGAGAAATGGGCTACTTTGTGGGATAGTAAGATTCCTATCATTGGAAGTATTTAAACTCAGATCTCAGGGGGCCAATAAGGTAAAAAATATTAAGGGCATGCACGAATCAAACAAGGTGGATTGTACAGTACCAGTCAAAACCAGTTGAGACAATGCAATAAAACCATTCACTTCTGTACCTGAACTTCACCAAGACGATCTAGTTGTTCTTGCATCTGGTTCCTGGTAACAGTTACATCGTATTCTAACTTGTCATATTCTCTCCATGCTCGCTCCAGTTCCTAAAAATCAAACAGCACTAATTAATGGGAAAAATGTGCTTTTATATGGTTATCACTGCAATTACAAGCTTTCCAGGTTTTAGAAAATTGCATAGTTTGTAATGGGCAAAATAAAAACTTTTATAATTCATTTTTCCTTTTCTTGTAATTCATGGGAAATGTCAGTTTAACAACACCAATAGTCTTGGGAAAGGAAAGAGGGTATGGAGTATGAAGAAAGATTAATAATCTTAACAGTCTGTTTTTAATGGTTCTCTTTTAAAGAGTTATTTTACTTTTGGGGCACCTGGGTGGATCAGTTGGTTAAGCAACTGCCTTTGGCTCAGGTCACAATCTCAGGTTCCTGGGCTGGAGCCCCAACTTGGGCTCCCTGTTTAGTGGGAAGTCTGCTTCTCCCCACCGCTTGTGCTTTCTCTCTCCCTCAAATAAGTAAATCTTTTTTTTTTTTCTCCAAATAAGTAAATCTTAAAAAAAAAAGGGGGTGGGGCTGCCTGGGTGGCTCAGTGGGTTAGGCCTCTGCCTTCAGCTCAGGTCATGATCTCAGGGTCCTGGGATCGAGTCCCACATCGGGCTCTCTCTGCTGGGCAGGGAGCCTGCTTCCTCCTCTCTCTCTCTCTCTCTACTTGTGATCTCTCTCTGTCAAATAAATAAAATCTTTAAAAAAAAAAAAAGGTTATTTTACTTTGTATATTGTGCAACTAGCTTAAAATTATTTTTAAAAACTCGGCAATGAAAATTATTCAAGGCACATACTTTTTTTTTTTCTTAAGATTTTGTTTATTTATTTGACAGAGATCACAAGTAGGCAGAGAGGCAGACGGGGATGGGGGGTGGGGGAAGCAGGCTCCCCGCTGAGCAGAAAGCCCGATGTGGGTCTCCATACCAGGACCCTGAGATTGTGACCTGAACCGAAGGCAGAGGCTTAACCCACTGAGCCACCCAGGTGCCCCATCAAGCCACATACTTTCAAAAATTAAAATGAGTGTTAGAATTTGGCCATTTGGGATAATTGCTTTTTGAATCTAAGATGTCTCCTTAAGCAGGTTTTATAATGAATTACATTTTTTAAAAAGTAGAGATAAACCACTGGAGGTTTATCATCTCTATATTGTATAGGTAATTTAGGGAATCTATTTAACTGGTTTCACAATTAATAAAACTTTTAAAAGGCAAAGTGATAAAGGACTAAAGAGTTATATCTCCTCTATATTGTGTAACTTTAACTATTAGTCTTCCCACTTGGCTCCAGCAAACTTTTACCTGAATAAGGATACTGATCTTCTTATTTACTTTTTTATCTGCAGACCCAATGGCAGCCCGACAGTTAAGTAAGATGGCATTGCCAGCCTAACACCTAATAAAAAGACACTGTCCAAAGGCTACAGAAGCATCTAAATGTAAGAACATTTTATAGGAAGGTAAGAATCCGTGTCTTTCTTATCCTAAAAGTATAGGAAACATACACTGTAGAGCCAGAAATTATTTTAAAGGTGAAGAAACACAATATACTCTCAAGTTTTCTAGCCTCCAAAGTCCTGCCACTGCACTGTAACATTTGGACTGAGTCCCATCTTCCTGCTGGGCTTACCTACTTCTCCTTTACCTCTGGGCTCCTCAAACATGATTATGGCTGGGCAGAACAAAAACCAAAAGAGGAGAGCAAGCAAAGGGGCAGCACTGGCTTAACGTCAGCTTCTCCTAATACCTGCCTGAGCATTTCGTTAATGAATCTCCAAGTACCATGCTGAAAATCTTTAAATATGACCTGTTTTTTTTTTTTTGGTCAAGAAGATAATATACAGTACGATAAGGCAATTAAAAGGGGTAATGACTTCTAAACATACAATTATCTTAAAATCACAGGCATTAAGTTAGGAAATAGTGCTTTTGATAAAAACATGGAAAGTTTCATGCTATATACAGTTAAGAGAATAAATGAAATCTTCCAATCTACAACCATAGCAATGACTCTCACAATGTTAAAAGGAGCCAAAGAACATATACTGTATAATTATATATGATTTATATATATGTAACTTCTAAAGTTCAAAAGTAAGCAGCTTACTTTTTTTACATAGTTTAAGTCAGGTAGTGGTCTGCTAGGGAAGTAGTCACTGGGAGGGGAATTTCTGGCATGCTAGTAAAATTCAGTGCCTTGATATGGATATCAGTCATATTTGTGCACTTATCAGTCATATTTTTGCACTTAAATTGGGTGCTTTTCTGAGAATATGTTAACTCTAACAAAGGTAAAAAAAATATGTGTGTACACGTGTACAATTGTTACAGGGGTGGCAGAAGATTTTCAAAAATTTGACTCAGTCTAACTTTAGGATGTGGAATAAGTAAAATGAGGATTTCAATATCTAGCAGTAGAGCTATACTGAATACATATTATGATCTTTATTAAGACAGTAATAGGACTAATAATTCATTTCTAAGTTTTTTTTTTTTTTAAAGATTTTTATTTATTTGACACACAGAGAGAGATCACAAGCAGGCAGAGAGGCAGGCAGAGAGAGAGAGAGGAGGAAAAAGGCTCCCTGCTCAGCAGAGAGCCCGATGTGGGGCTCGATCCCAGGACCCTGAGATCATGACCTGAGCCGAAGGCAGAGGCTTTAACCCACTGAGCCACCCAGGCGCCCCACATTTCTAAGTTTTTAATGTAGGAAGACCTATCCTTTCTTTTCTTCTTTTTTTTTTTTTTTTTTTTTTTTTTAAGATTTTAAGTAATTTCTCTACACCCAACGTGGGGCTCAAACTTACAACCCCAAGGATCAAGAGTTGGATGCCCTAATGACAGAGTCAGCCAAGCACCCCTCCTTTTCTTGTCCAATATCAATGGCAATTCAGAACAAAATATAGCCATGAGAACAGTTACACAATATGCTACACACACATAAATGTGTAATCTGTATTTCTAATCTTTAACTTGTCTCTGTAGTTTCTCTTCTAATCTCTGAAATAAAAACTATATTCCATCTCAAAGAAAGTGGCTATTATTTTTTGTACAAATTTTATATGTAATAAATTTATATACTTATAAATGTAGAAAAGCTAGAATACAGGGAAAGAAAAAGAAAAAAATACCTATTATTGTAGTACACTTTTGTTAGTAATTTTGTGGATTTTTTTTTTGTTTTCTCAGACACACACAATGGAAATTTACAAATATACACAAAAGTAGGACCCACTCTAAATACAACATGGCCACTCTGGTTTCATCTATAGTACTTCCATTCTTTGAGTACTACAGTACTCTTATTCTATCTTTGTGGAATTATTTTAAGGCAAATACCAAGCATCATATAATTTCATCTATAAATACTTCAGTATGTATTTCTTTCTTTCTTTTTTTTTTTTTAAAGATTGTATTTATTTGAGAGATAGAGGGAGTGACAGAGAGAGAGCACCAGTGGGGTCTGAGGGGGGGAGTGGCAGAGAGAGGGAGAAGCAGACTTCCCACTAGCAGGGAGCCCAATGGGGGCTTGATTCTAGGATCCCAGGATCACCTGAGCCCAAGGCAGATACTTAAATGACTGAGCCACCCAGGGAACTCTCAGAATGTATTTCTTTTTTTCTTTTTTTTTTTAAATATATATATTTTAAAGATTTTATTTATTTATTTGACAGACAGAGATCACAAGCAGGCACAGAGGCAGGCAGAGAGAGAGAGGAGGAAGCAGGCTGCCTGCTGAGCAGAGAGCCCAATGCGGGGCTCGATCCCAGGACCCTGGGATCATGACCTGAGCCGAAGGCAGAGGCTTAACCCACTGAGCCACCTAGGCGCCCCTCAGAATGTATTTCTTAAGAAAAGAAACTTAAAATGAAAAACAACATGGAAATTCTTGCTTTAAAAATCATTAATATTTATTCCTTAAAAAAGCTTTTTAAAGGATTTTATTTATTTTAGAGAGAGTGTGTGTGTGTGAGAGAGAGAGAGGGAGTACATGAGCAGCGGGAGGGGTAGAGGGAGAGGAACAAGCAGACTCCCCACTGTGTGGGGAGCCCAGAGTGGGGCTTGATCCCAGAATCCCGAGATCATGCTAGTCAGACGCTTAACCGACAGACACACCTAGGCGCCCCTTCCTTAAGTGTTGTAAAAAATGATTACCCCTATCCTCCTCTCTATGCCCTTATTACTTATATGGGGATGAGACTGAGTTACCCGACCTGCAGAATTTCTCCTACTCTACATTTTGCTAATTGAATTCCTGCAGTATTCCTTACATGCTCCTCTGTTTCCTTTTATTTTCTATAAACTTGTAGTTATATACTGAGGCTCGTCGAGATGCAGATTTGATTTTCTGGTAAAAAATACCTCACAACTGTTGCTGGGTACTTTCTACGGCAGCACATCAGGAGGTGTATGACAGCGGACTATCTCTTTTGGGGGGATATTGTGTTGTAATTATAAAATAACCAGGTGATTTAAAAATTATCTTGGGGCACCTGGGTGGTCCAGTTGGTTGAGCGTCTGACTCTTGGTTTTGGTTCCAGTCATGATCTCGTGGATCATGAGATCCAGCCCTGCATCAGGCTCAGAGCTCAATAGGGAGTGTGCTTGAACGTTCCCACCGCCTCTCCTTCCGCTCATGCATGTGCTCACTCTTTAATAAATCTATCTTAAAAAAAAAACAAAACTATCTTAAAATCTTTCAAAACAGATTCCATGCCAATTCATGAATATTGATGGAAGGACTACATAAAAATGACACTATTGTAACCATGATTCTCAGAAACTATTACATAGAGGATGAATGGGTATATGAAGATATTTAATGGGCAAGCTTTTCCCCAAGGCATTTTGTTTGTCCTGATTCCCTGTCCCTTTTAAGTTTATAACCCTAGGCTCTAGTATATCCACTGGAGTCTAAAATCTTTTACTTATGGTCCTCCTAGCTACAATCCAACTTAGACCACACATCAGTTTAATGGAAGTCTATACATACAACCTACTCACTGTAACCCTGGGTAATCTCTCTGACTCAGTTTTCCGTTTATAACATAGTAATAATAGTACCCATGCTAAGGAGTTATGGAGACTAAGCACATGTACAGTACTTAGAATCTGGCACCCAGTAACTGCTCCAAGAAATATTCCTGATTTTTGTTATTACTTGGTATTTTGGTATTATTTTGCTGTGGATAAATATATAAGCGAATTACTACCATGACTCAGGGTGAATGGGAGGCCTTTATACCTGTTTTATGATTTCTGAAATTCCAATTCTGGATTTTTGAGTAAGATCATTTAAATTTGATTTCAAGTTCCATAAAGTACATGTTATGTGACCATACAGATATTGAAATGGAGTAGAAAGCAGAGAAACCTAAGAAAAAGCCTTTGATTTAGGTGTTGATTCTGTTCCTTACTAATTATGTCACCAACACAAGTAATTTAGCCTCCACGAACCTCAGTTTTTTCATCTGTGCAGGGAAAATAATAAATATGAAAATAAATGGAGATAGTAATTATATTTTGCACAGGATTTTCTTAAAGATCAAACCGGATAACATATGTGAAAAACACAGAATTACATATATATTTTGCTGCCATTTAGATGAGTCACAAATTATGTTTCCTTGAATTGCTGGGTAGAGTAAGAGAAGCCCCCATTGAGCTGATAAAGCCTAAGAATATTTCTCTTACATACAGACATGAGGCCTAATATAAATTCTAAGAGAGGTAACTGTAGCAGATGTGACAGCGCTTTGCACTATAACCCCTTTGCCCACCTAATTTCAAGGGACTGTGGTACCAGTGTCTCATGCCAAGCCAGCTAAGGCAGTTTGGAAGTGTGGGTGAATTAAGGGCACTGGGGCAACTTCAACCAATGAGTGAGAGATAGCCTCCCAGTCTTCAGTAGAAAATTCGGGGCTATCTACTCATTTCCTCAAAGTCCCCAGTTGCATACAGTGGGAACCAGCTTTGTAGGGAAACTTTCATTGTTTTTTCTCCCTTCCTGTCTCATTCTCCACATACCCTCTCCTTTCTGCATCCTGGAATCATCTCCTAAATAAACAATCTTAGCCCAGTTCATCTTAGGTTCTGCTTTCAGAAAAGACCCCAAACTAAGACAATGACATACTGAAAAATTTCAAGCGTAACCGACTGTTATTACAACCTTTCTCACTAATCAGGCTTAGGTAAAAAGAAGTAGAAACAAGGTGAGAACACAGAGGCACTATGTGCTTAAAGCAGGTATGGTTATTGGATGGGGCTCACAGAGAGAGATATAGTATCAACAATTAAATAAAACATAATGGGGACACTGCTTTACATGTCTGCCTTGTGTTAATCCTAATTTTATAAACCTAAATGGCTAATCTGGTGAGGAGATGTTCTTAGAATCAAAGCTCTGCTCTATGGAAGTGTTAACGTTATACCTCTTGCATCTTCTAAACCTCATGACTTGGATTTGAACAAACGACCTCAACCAACTGTGAAAGAATCAGAGGAATCCTCTGGGATTCTGCTAGCGTAAATGTAATTCAGTTTTTTTTTTTTTTTTTTTAAAGATTTTATTTATTTATTTAACAGACAGAGATTACAAGTAGGCAGAGAGGCAGGCAGAGAGAGAGGAGGAAGCAGGCTCCCCGCTGAGCAGAGAGCCCGATGTGGGGCTCGATCCCAGGACCCTGAGATCATGACCTGAGCCGAAGGCAGCGGCTTAACCCACTGAGCCACCCAGGCGCCCCAATGTAATTCAGTTTTAAGTTTAACCAGCATCCGCTGAGTGTTAACCATATGCTGTAAGGCTTGAGCTACAAATATGAACACGTTTACAAAGGCAAAAGTTGTACAGTTTGTATTCTACGTAGTAAGACATGTCTTAGAAGAGCACATTGAGAGTTTGTAATGACCAATGAATAACACTGAAGGCAAAGAAAAGAAACCTGGAAAGTGATTACATTGGTAACAACAAGAAAACGGGATATTCAAACATGATTAATTTCTATTAGAACATTTTTAAGCCTACTGACCAAATTTAAGTTACTAAACCCATTTGGTAAGGGAAAAGATAACAGTTCAGTTGAACACTATACATCCTGAGAATTTTCTAAAACAGATACCAAGTCATGAAATAGTACCCAACTACGTTTTGATTTGACTCAGGTTGCCATAGGGATACTGAACTTTTCATTAGCTTGGCAGTGACAGTGTAGCCCCATTTTCCCTTTCTAATGTCATATTCCTAATCCTCTATTCCAGTCAGTTACGTTTATTTTTTGTTTCTCCAAACAAGTCTCTCATATTCTCATTTCTTTGTTGTGGTTCGAGGCATTTTATCCTGTGTGGACTACCCTTTACTGCTCCTTCCTATCCAAATCCTACCGACCATTGGTGAACTAAGTGACTACGTCCTTGTAGACATTTCAGGTGCCTGTATTTTCTTTGTGACTCTATTAGAGAAATCTATGTAGATTTAAGTCTTCAGGATTATGCTCAGAAGATAGGAGTTTTGATTCTAGGCACGGCACTTATTAGCTTTTAACACTGGGTAAGTCATTTGGTTCAATCATCACCTTTTTTTTTTTTTTTTTTTGAAAGGCTGAGTGAGCATGGAGCCCAACACAAATCTTGAACTCACAACTCTGAGATCAGGACATGAGCTGAAATCAAGAGTCAGACACATAACTGACTGAGCCACCCTGGTGCCCCTCAATCATCAAATTTTTAATGCATATCCTACAGTACTGGATGCTAGAGTGACAAAGATAAATGACATAGGGTTCTAATTTCAAGGAGACCACAACTGAAAGGATATTAAATTCTTAAAATATGAACAACACAGTATAATTAAGAGAATCAAATGAAATGATGGAAATATCCAACCTGAAATCACACTGCAGCCATGAAATGATGTCAACGGCTTCCTAGTGAAATGGTTAAATGAATCGAATTACCACCTTCTCAAACTTATTCTAATTCCCCTAAAATCCATGAAATAGTTGATTAAAAAAAAAGATTTTATTTATTTACTTATTTTTGAAAGGTTTTAATTTATTTGACACAGAGACAGAGTACAAGTAGGCAGAGCAGCAGGGAGAGGGAGGGAGAAGCAGGCTCTCCGCTGAGCAGAGAGCCCAAAGTGGGGCTTGATCCCAAGACTCTGGGATCATGACCTGAGCCGAAGGCAATGCCTTAACCAACTGAACCACCTGGGTGCCCCTTTAAGATTTTATTTTCAAGTAATCTCTACACCCAACACGGGGCTTGAACTCACAACCCCAAGATCAAGAGTCACATGCTCTACCAACTGAGCCTGGCTGGTGTCCTGAAATACTTATTTTCTTAATGCAATAAATGTTAACATATTTACTAAGTTTTCATTTGAATAATACATAAACGGATTATTTATCTCCCTTACAAAACAACTATCTCACAAGGAAAAGAATGCTTACCGTAAGAGAAATAATTGTATTTATTTTCCATCAGAAAACAAATCGCCCCTTAATTTTTATTAGTTAATAACAAATTAATTTCTCATTATAGAAAAGAACTAAAGACAGTGAAATTACATAGAAACAAATAGAAAAAAGGAAAAAAAAGTGTATAGTATCTCAGTGACTCTTCTAGAAAAACTCTGCTACTTACAGCAGTGGCTCGGGAGAGTTCTCTGCATGTACTGAGCAGTCCGTTTTGTAGGTCGTCCCTCTGCAGCACCACGGTCTGAATGGCTGCTGGGTTATCTGCATTCATTTCTATCTCTTGGCTGGCTGATAGCAAAGCTTGCTCAAGCGTGTACTATTATAATAAAAATAATTACACTTAATGTTCTGCATCATCAAATTAATTCTTTTTACTTTCGTTTTATCAGTGCCCTGATAAGAAGCATAAAAAGTAACATCAATTGTATATAATAAATAGGGTTGTCCTACTTTCTCCTTGTGGAGTTGCTGAAGTTTCTCTTCCAGGGCATGTACCACTTTATCTTGTTCACACAACCGGCTTAACTTGGCCTAGGTTTTAAGAGAAAATCTGTTAGCAATTTTTTAATTTTTCCTGTAACTGGCGGTAGGTAGTCCTGTAACTCAAGGAAGGTGTGACAAGAAAACACATTGAAGATAGCCATAGAATACCTAATGAGGTCAATCTTTTATTTCAATCAGTAACATAAAAAGTAGCTTTTATTTGCTAATTTCTAAAAAGATTTTATTTATTTATTTGTGAGAGAGAAAGATAGGGATAGTGACAAAGAGCACAAGTGGGGAGGTGAGAGAGCAGCAGGCACCCCCCCACCAAGCAGGGAGCCTGACATGGGGCTCCATTCAGTTGGTTAGGTGGATGAGCCAACTGAGCCCACCCAGGAGCCCCCAAATTAGCTTTTAAAGATACAGTGCTTAATAAACATGCATATAAAGTGAAAAAGCATTTCAACCATACTGTTTAATCTATGTAATTTGAGATATTGTTAGTAATCAAGCAGTCTCATATAACTTTAAATTATTTCAGGGTGGTTTTACCTCCTTAATGAAAACATCAACTGGATTCTGTTTTTATATTTTAAAAATTATGCTCTTATGTTTAGAAAATGTAAGCAAAAGATTGCTTCTAATTTCAATAATACAAATATAAATTTGCTAAATGGAGAAAAAAATCATTTTCAATAGTTTGTTTGAAATTTTTGGTATTACTCCAATTTCTTAATTATAAAAGAATCAGAATATTATTAAAAATTATAAAAGAATCAGAGTATTATTAAAAATAATATTAAAAAATATTTAGCCTATAGTTAACATTTTAGATTTATATATATACAAATCTAAATATATGGATACTCCATGAAAATTTCAATACTACAGTAAACCATGTAAATATGCCCCAAACTTGACTGCATAATGATAAGTAGGCGAGAAACTGGAGACTTCACTTTCTTTGCTGTGTATCTCTTAAAGTAACCACCTATCTTTGTTAGATGACAAAACTCAAGCTATACCAAATACAATATACTGAAATGAGAAGATATAATGCTGTAAGCCAACCAATCTAAAATACAATAAAAGTAAGACTAAATTTTAAAAAGGAAGTAGTGACAGAACTTTCAGAGGCTGATACTTTCTCTAGAAGACTGACAATTTTACTTTGTCTCCAGTCCTCCATACTTTCTGTGATTAGAAATGTCTTACTTTCCTTTAAGTGATTCTTAGTCTGCTCAACTGCTAATTATGGGGGGAGTGGTTGTTACAGAATAGAGGAATGATGATTTAATTTAACCCAAGTGTAAAAGAAGAAAATGCTACTTTATTTGATGTCATTTTAGAGGGCAAGGGAGGAAGAGGAAGTTTTTGTCATGCTTATTTCCAGTGTTTTGGCAGAGAATATAACAGAGTACTGACAAGATACATAGTATACTGACACTTACATCGATATCTACTTCTTCAGGTCTGTATTTATATAACGTGCCTCTACATTCATCTTGTGACAGCTATAGGAAAAAAGGTCAGGGAGCAAGTTTAAAAATAATATTAAAAAATATTTAGCCTATAAGTTAACATTTTAGATTTATATAACAATAACAAAAATGGGATTTTAATGATTCTTATACTTTAAGAAGTTTAATTCAAACACAGATCATTACAAAAGTAGAAAAATATTTAACAGTGATACAATATGCAAGATACATAAAATGGTGTTAACTTAAAGCTTGTCAAACAAAATAATAAGTTGGTCAAACAAATTATACAGCACCTTACATTTTCCATTTGTAAGACACACATTATTTTAGTGAAAAATTGACAAAATACAATCATAGCAACTGTACTGAATCAAATATTCAAACCAGGCATATTTCAGCAGTCAAAACCATCCTTCACGGTATACACATAATCACACAACTGTGTATGTGTACACTCAAATGCCAACACATCTCAGTACAACTTTATTAACAAAACCTTTAACATACTGTATACATATACATAATATAGAAACACACATACACAATATAAACTTATCTTGCTCTTCTGTCTTAAGAACTAAAAGATAATGGGGAAAAAGGATGGATTTAATTGAAAAGAGGAAACTCATTCAAAACCTCATAAAACTGAAAGCCTATGTTGTAAACTATGGATAATCAAATTTCATAAAAAGTTTATATGTGTTCATTGACACCATTTATCTTATGGTACTGTAAGAAATTACTGTTCAATGCATTTAAACATCCTTTCTTCGGCTTCTTCCCAATATCTTTTGGTCAAACAAATCTTCATTTCTGCTTGTGTTAATCAAGATTTCAAAAGCCATCCCCGTCAGTTACAGCACAGGTAACATCATAGCCTCTGCAGGCAATATTTCACGCTCTCTTGTCTTTTGACTTTATATAGACTGCTAAGACAGTTACAAAAACATAGCAGGAAAAATTTACTTGGGCTCATTGCATGTTTACTAAATGGCACACTTTTTCTCAAAGTGGGGATGGGAGTAATGTATCCCCACTATATTCTAGATTGGAAAATTAAACTTCATATAAACACATATAAATGAATAAAAATGATAAAAAATGTTATAACTATATATGTCCACTCTAAAATACTGCTTGCCAGTTACATCTTCAAAAGGAGGCATAATTTAAACAGCAGGTAACTTTGAATTGATCTAGAAATGTGGGTATCAGGAGGTTAAAAATGTAAGCATTACAAACATACAGTAAGAAATCCTGGATTTATATGTTTCATTTCAAGACATTACTTTCACATCCTCATGCAAATGAATCTTTGACTATTTAAGGGTATGCAGTGATTAAACAAAACTTTCATAGAAATGAATTATCACATGAAAAATGAATTTAATGACAAAAGTCAGAATACTTGCACACTATTTTAAAATAAAGATCATTGAATATGTTCTAAAGTGTCAATAGTCATTCTCAATTAAAGCACCTAGAAAATAATTTGTACTCTTTTCTGGAAAAAAAAAAAAAAAGTGATGAAAAGTTTTAAAATGCTTAGAGTCATAATAAAAAATTAAGATAATGCCAAAATTAAATTTTCTCATTTATAAGAAATTAGAGATGTAAAGCCTTTAGCTTCTAAATGTCCAAATACACTTAATATTTAAAGTTAAATACAAAACAGCTTTACTAAACCATGGAATGTAAAATTTGGACGTAACTAGTGAATAGTGCTATACCTAGATTAAAATATGAATTCTATCCTATATCCCAGAGTCAACAGAAAAATGACTAGGATTTTAAAATGGAAATATAGCAATGTGTAATATAAATTTTTTATATTAGTATTAGTATATTAGTATTAGGGTATTAGTATACTATTTTTTTTTAGAGATTTTATTTATTTACTTGTCAGAGAGCGAGCGAGAGCGAGCGCGAGCGCACAAGCAGGGGGAGCAGCAGGCAGGGCAGGCAGAGGGAGAAGCAGGCTTGCCGCCCAGCAACGAATCCCATGCGGAACTCTATCACAGGACACTGGGATCATGACCTGAGTCGAAGGCAGCGGTTTAACCAACTGAGCCACCCAGGCAGCCCTTAGTATACTGTTTTTATTTAGGAAATCTTACTGCATATTCATTTTCACATCAGTTGGCAAATTAATAAAAAAATGTGTATTGTGTTATCATTTAGGAGTGATAGATCCTTTTTTTTTTAAAGATTTTATTTATTTATTTGACAGAGAGAGATCACAAGTAGGCAGAGAGGCAGGCAGAGAGAGAGGAAGGGAAGCAGGCTCCCTGCTGAGCAGAGAGCCCGATGTGGGACTCGATCCCAGGACCCTGAGATCACGACCTGAGCCGAAGGCAGTGGCCTAACCCACTGAGCCACCCAGGCGCCCAGGAGTGATAGATCCTTATAGCCATATAAATATATTGCACAATAAGTTAGATTTGTTTCATTGTTTCTCTGTTTTTAGGACCACTAAAAAATTAATTTAAACTTTTTATCAAATTATTCAATAAAAATATTCATTATTAGACACTAACAAAATCTTAAAATAATCAGCCTTGCACGATATATTGCTTTCAGCTATCAGAAGAAAAGAATAAGGAAACAAGATTATTCTTTAAATAATTAACTTTTAAGCATGGCCTATTTTTCATTACTGATAATAATTACTGAGGCTCTTCTTCTTTTTTTTTTTTTAAAGATTTTATTTTATTTATTTGACAGACAGAGATCACAAGTAGGCAGAGAGGCAGGCAGAGAGAGGGGGAAGCAGGTTCCCTGCTGAGCAGAGGGGCTCGATCCCAGGACCCTGAGACCATGACCTGAGCTGAAGGCAGAGGCTTAATCCACTGAGCCCCCCAGGTACCCCTACTGAGGCTCTTCTTAAGATGGGTATAGATTACTTAAAAAAATTCTATCTAGAATTGAAGAAGTTTGCTTACTTACTCATCATTATGAAAATCCTACTAATAAGGAAAAAGGTAATTTCATGAATATTCTCATTAAGTTCTGCGTAAGAATCATGTTTCATGGCAACACTTTTCATCATTTTTCAAACTCATCTCTAGCAAAAGGAAAAAAATTCTGGGTTTGAATACCTTTTTTTGAAGTACCTCACGACACTAGAAAAGCAAATAAAAATGGGCTATGTAGAATTTTGAAAGGCTGAGGCATGCTCAAGCTTCAATTTGAGAAGTGTATTATACAAACTTTATTACTGACATATATACATGAGAATATGTGCTATATTTAGAAAGAGCTTCTTCATAATAAAATATCTAACAATACTTAAAAACATGGGGCTGGCATTAAATTACTTTTGTTAATAAAAATCTAACTTTCTACAGTATCGTTTTTAAATATACATTATGTATGTATTTTAAAATTCATAAATATGTATATAAACCCCAAAAAAGGGCTTTGGGGAAGTATCTGATAAAATTAGACATTTTATGAGGACTCAAAAAATGCTCACAGGACCGTAGGTATTTGCTAAAATTAGCTGTACCTTTAAAAACAAGTATTTATGATTATTTTATAAAAACTCTAGTACAAAAATGTAATTGTGAAAGATGGTAGAATGATTATTAAATGTAGAGGAATCTTTCAACACAATATGCACTGATTTAGCATTTGTTTTGATTCAGCTTTAAGTCCTTTTTATATTACCAATTCTAAAAAAATTTCCGCACAGGTAATTTTTCTGATGTCCTCTTTTTTCTAAGAAAATGCAAACATAAAGGTTCTCCTGCGAGAAACCCCAATGGCTATGATTCAGAGTAACAGATCATAAAACATGATATCGCCACTGTATTTTCAGTTGTATTTCAGGAACCTATAACACAGCACTGTGATGCAATGTCAGAGAAGCACATTGTAAGAGTGTACAATATAAACTTCCATGAAGATTTCCTTTGGATAAGAACATAGTAATGGAAATCGGAAGAAAAAAAATAAGATCTAATTTCAATTGATGCGAATTAATAAACAGGGTTTAGGAAGTGTGTCTGAAGGTCACTGTTATCCACCAGTGGCGTCCCGTAACAATTAAGTACTTTATTAATGGCTGATTTTTTAAAAAAGGACTGCCTGAAGACACCTCAACTATATAGGACTGAGAGCCAACAGGGATTATTATGTGGTGATCTGTGGCCTATCTCATGCCCACGAATGGGTGCTGATGTTAGCCATTCAGATCTCTTTGTACAATTTTAGTTTTTTTCTTTCAAGTGTTCATATACTTAATAAGGAAAAATAATAACGAGGAAATATATTTATATAAATCTATAGTTCTGGTCAGTGACACCAGTATGTTAGGCTGCTCTCAGACACTGCCACACTTTGGGAGAACTCCGGTTAGAACTTTTAGTGCAACTAGGTAATTTCAATCAGCAATGACTTCTGCATCATCAATCCTGATTACTGATCAATATAAAAAAGAAAAGCCAATCCAAACCAAACTGAAAACCCAGGCTATTATTCTTACTGAAAATATAACCTATTATAGCAACATGCCTTTGATCTCTTGTCATTTAGCATTATATAAAATGATAAAGTGACAGCTTCAGTCACCACTGAGAAAGGTATCAATTCCAGAACAAGGGCTAAAGGTTCTCAGCAGTGGCATTTTGGAATGAAGTGTCAAGGTTCTCCAATCTGGTTACTTTAAAAATACAAAGATTTCATTTTCCTTTGAAAAGTAAAGCTGTTTAACTTTAAATATTTAACACTTCATTTCTTTATTGATAGAAAGCTTTGCTCAGAAATAAGAGTCCCCTCGCAGTCCTACCAATCGCTGTACGGCCACTGTCAGTGATGCTGATCCCAAGAGGACTAAAGCAAACCAGAGGCCTGGAAAGCCAGAGAGTTCAAGGTGCTTTGTTTTACTAGGTGCTTTCTTGTATTTTAATCAAAACACATTCATTTTTCATGTTAGTTAATTTTTCTTCTTCTGTATGAGTTTTAAAGTATTGTAACAGGTCATCGGCCACAGTAATTTGAAGGTGTTGAAGTGGAAGAAGCTGATGTTGCAGCACAGCTAAGAACATTTAGACCATGAAATACAAAAACAAAACAAAACAAAACAAAACAAAAACCCAAAACAAACAAACAAAAAAAACACCTGGATAGGAATGTATACAATGACTTCTTTTGCAGATCTGCAGATTACGAAGGTCCTAAATTAAAGCCAGCCAGCTCCATGGCATCTATTTTGAGTTAGGGAAAAGAATGACGTAAGATGATGTATATGATAGCACAAAAATGACAGGTTAAGAATACAGGGAGAAGATATTCCCAGTATTTCAAGAAGTAGCTCTCTTTAGGTCTTACTATACCACAGTATAGAAACTAGATTTCAATAACTCCCATACAAATATTATCTATTCCTAAGAGTGGGGTGGGGTAGGGTGGGATAGGGGCTGTCCCTAAAAGGAAAAAAAAGATTTTTTAAAACTCTTCCCTAGAAATCAGTTCTAATGTTTTTAGAGTTAACCGAAATTAATGGCAATCTAGTAAAAATTTTGCAAATGTACTGCAGACCTCCAAGTACATATCAATCAAATACTCTGCACAAAAACTTCAGGAAAATGGCACACTTAATATTCAACAGCAAAATGTTCAGCAAAGCCATGCTAAGAATACTGCAGCATCTTAAAAAGCATGGATGAATTGCATTTTTCCAAATAGACAGAAACAAAAAAATGAAATAAGAAAACATTAATGTTATGAGTAACTCTGGGGATAAACCAAAACTGTCACTGAGGGATTTTGCAGATGATAAAGCAGTATCATTCACTGTCCGAGACCTTACTTGCTGGTACAGTTGGGGTCTTAGCGCCGAGTTCTCAATCATTGTGTGAACCATGGTGATAATAGGTTCATTTTCTTTCATCTATTTCAAATCAGGAGGAGCATACAGCAAACATCAGTTTACAGCACAGCTAGATTTGAAAGACGACACTGTAAATATAGCCTCTACTTTAATATCTTCCTAATAGTGCAGTTGTTTACATTTTACCCCAAGGTTGTAAAGATTTTAACTTATATAAACCATTTCAAGCAAGTATTAAATGCTGTAAAGTACTTCCCAGGTTAAAGAAAAGCTTACTAATTGCAATATTGCTGCAACTAGGTTTTACTTTATAAATATAATGAATATAGTGGATGAATATTCTTACATATACTAGGACAGATGATAAAGCATCATGCCTTATTCAAAGAATAAACTACAGGATGAAAACCTACTTAAAAGGAGAAAACAGTATCATTTAATTGATTACTTATTTAGTAAAAAAGCTTAAAAAGATAATCAGTTCTTTGTGTAACTGATCAGAGAAATATTAGTTTTCTTGTATTAAAATTTTATAATATTCAGTATATCTTGTCATTTAGATAATCACATATTTCACTAAGGTTAATTTTGATAGACATCTGTACACACTCTGCTTTGGATCTTCTTACAGTATAACACAACATGCAGAATTATTTCAAGGACATGCAAACTAAAATTTATTGAGCAAAGACTCAATGTATCTCCCTGGTTCCTAAAAAGGCTGAAACCATGTTTCACATTTCCAGCTAATGTTGTACTTAATTACTGCCTCTAGAAAAATATTTGTTTTAGGAGGTTCTGGACTCAAGAGAGAGATAAAGCATTCAAAAGAGAATCATCATAATATACAGAGTAAAAGGCCAATGATGTTGTACCATTTGTATGTAGACAAGTCTGTTTATGATTGCAATGTGCAACATGTACTTTACGTGATTTTCATCCTGCAAATTATAGAAAATAAGCATTTTATTTTCTAATAACAGTTAACAAATGCTACTTTACTGATTTCATTAAATGTACAATAAAAGTTTACTAATCTTCAGACTAATAGATGCATAATGTAAGTAAAAGATAAATCTTGAAAAGTATACATCTAGACAATTTTATTTTCAGCCTAGTTACCAATATTTCATGTCAATAAAATGTTTTGATTGTCAAATTAGAAACTGGTGACTGGTTTAATTTTTTTTTAAAGTTTTATTCAACCTAAATAATTTATTAAAAAAACAATTTATTTTAAAATCTCAACATCTGCATATCATTTAAATATAAACTTCTTTTTCTCCTTTGCAACGCTATCTCGTAAGGGACTAAGGCATTTATAGGTGACATTTCATGTACTCCAGAAACAGATGTGTTGATATGCAGTTCAGGGCAATTTTTTTACAGTGTTGGAAAGTAACTTATAAATAGACAACTACAGATGTAAATTTACTTTAGGAGAAAAAAACTTTTATCCTGGGAATTTAAGACCTCTTTAAGCTTTCTTGTGCCTTCTGTGTTTTAAGGGAATGTTAGTTATCTTAGTCAAATGTAGATCTTGGATTAAGTACAACTGCTTTTTGTTTTGTCTTACTCGTTTGACTGTATTGATACACACTTTATATAACACAGTAAGCTTAAGTCCCTATCCACTTTAAATTTTAATTTTCAAAGCAATCTCATCATTACTATTTTTCCAATAGCATACCATGGAATAGTCAAAATAATACTGGACTCAAATTTTTTTGCATTGGGTGAAGGTCAGGAGCATGAATGTTGTAAGAAGTAACAGAGATCATCAGAGAGTATCCAAATGTAAATGATACTCAAGGTAAAACTGAAACTGCCCATCGAGTCTTGGAAACCTGGCACTACTGATTGGCCCTTGTGCCAAATGGCTAGGTCAATATGGCTCACACCTCCAAATGGAGCTTCAATATAGTACAGATTAAGGACAACTGTTCATATTCTAAGGCTGGCAAATTTCCTTGAAGGGACAATATGGTTTCTACAGAAGGGTAATCAAGACCAACTTATTTAGTGGACTACTTTGAGAGGGTAAACATGCATGTGTATCAAGGGATGCTATATTTGTGATTTAAAAATGTCTGTTTGATTTACATATCAAAGCTTATTAAATATTCAGACACTGAGAAGGGTTTTTTGCAAGAAGAACCTAACTTAGGAACAGAAAAACTAAAAGCAAAAATAGTGTTTAAATTATACAAATTGCAGAGTGTTTCAGAGATTATTTAAGAAATTGACTATTTTTCATTATGAAAAACTTCATACATATCAAATCCTAGAGTATTAAAATTAGAAGTCATCCCTAGAAACTGACAATTTAGTACAACAAAGGAATAAAAATGTTAGTAGTAATTATTTTGAATTCTGGGACTGTGAATTATTTTTCCCTTTCTCTATACTTTTCTCCATTTCCCAAGTTTTCCCCAGAGTAGATATTGATTTTCTAATTAAAAGAACATTACTAAAGAGTCAAGGATAAAAATATATAAACATGAAATAAACAAAATTAATGAAATAATCATTTCCTCTGGCAAATATTCTTTGGTGATGCAAAGCTAAGAAAAATCTTATTAGCACCATGTGTTCATATCATGTTCAAGGCTGGGAATTAAGGTGGGAAGAAACCTACTGGATTTGTCTGGTGTAGTAAGGTCCTTATCTAGAAGAATTCTTATAAACCTTTATTCTGTCTTAGGAATTTGTATCCATATCAGAAATTTATTAGAAAAAATGTTAACTAATTTAAAAAAGTAAGCTACCCAACACATTTGTAAATACCTAACTACCTGTAATACTGTTTCTACCCTTTTTATTATTACTTGAGAAATCAAAATTCAAGTTTAGACCAGGGATTCTTAATCCACATACACACCACTTGAGGAAGTTGAAAAGAATACAGATATCCTGATTCCCAGATAATTCTAATGAACAATTTGAGAATCTTTGATGTCATTAAATTACCAAAGTGACAGGATGGTCTAAAAATTCCTTTGCCAGAACTATGATGTTCTCATAGTGTTAAAGTAAAACATAAATTGGTAACAGTGCCTGTTCTTCAGCTCATATACTTCCTGGGATTCCATTTTACTAATGATTCCATAATTACTCAAGAGATGGGATAAGACTATCTATGGAAAGGCAGAAGCAGTGAGATCATTTCGGATTTTCTGAGGGCACTACACCTACCTAACCAAGAGCTGTTAGGACAACTAACCAGTGGCCTGTTCATGATTTGAAAGGGAGTGGTCCTGTTTGTGGTGGCTCTCTCTGTCCATGTGGTGTGCGACAGCTGGAAACTGAACGCAATCATCAGGAGCCCATACAATGAGTTTGGTCCCTATTATACAATTTCACTGATCTGACTGAATTTTCACTGTTTCCAGATTTATTGAATTGGAAATACTGGATCTGCTTTATCTCCAAATATATTCTAGAAACAGGCTAGCAGTTCCTTTCACTAAAACACCCCTCAGATATTCTATATTTAATACTTGGAAACTAGCTTCTTTTTTATTAAAGATTTTATTTGCTGATTTATTTGACACAGAGACACACACACAAGCACAGGGAGCAGGAGAGGGAGAAGCATGCTTCCCACTGAGCAGAGAGCCTGATCCCAGGACCTGGGATCATGACCTTAGCTGAGGGCAGATGCTTAACTGACTGAGCCACCTAGGTGCCCTGAAACTAACTTGTTTCTAGAACTTACACTGAAATAGCATATTCCACCTGACTTTGGCTATGTAAACATTATGATAGCTTTTCAGTTAAAGTAGTAAATAATGACATAAAAAAATAAATAATGCATAATACAATGAGCAAGTTGGAATTTCATGCTCAAGTTAAAAAAAAAATCCAATAATTCTCTTCTGATTTGAATACAAGGATCCTAGATGGTATTAAGATAGTGGTGTTAACAGCTGATGTCTTTTGTTTTAGGGAATCAGAGCAAGAGAGAGACTTATTGGTACATGGAAGATGTTCAGTGATTCACTTGAAAATGAGTTAAATGCTTCACTTCCAAATACTTCAATTCCTTGAAGTGATAGGTAATATAAGTTTAGGTTTCAGCTAATTATGATAAGTTATAAAACTATTAACAAGACTCATCATTTTATAGTAATAAAACGTAAGTGGAAATGTCTTGGAAATACACTTAGGTAATGTCAATGTATTTGTTTACAACAAAACCACATATTTTTACTTAAGCTTTTAAGTCCAAATGTTTAGAAAAACTACCTAGAAAGTCTGGTACTTAATTCCAGACTCTCTCAGTTTTGAGGGATGCTGGGCTAATATGAACATAAAGTATCCTTTGATGTTACTATCGGAAATATCTTGACTTAAAACCCATCACCAAAAAACCTTCTCAATACAATCATATGTAACTATGTCATACTTCCTAGGATCTTGAACAGAACTTCCCAACTGACACCTGTCGGCAGGGAATGGGATACAGGTGTGTGTAGATAGGGACCACCTCAGTCCTCAGTGGGCCTAACATGCTCCTGACAGCACCTCCTCCAGTTCCCGCCAAGGTGCTGTATAAATACCGTCACTTTCTATGTGTGCCATACACGAGAAAGGTTAGAAAGCACTAAGACAGTGTTCTTATTTCAGAAAAACTATGCTTTATGTCTTTGGTGTTTCTTGTGATAAATATATTTACCTCAATAGTTCTCAAACCTGACAGAAAACAACAACAAAAAAAATCACCTATGGACATTTAACACAGTATCAAGGGCTGGGCTCTGGCAATTCTGACTGGGGATTAGGGAAAGGAGGGCCCTGAGAATTATACTTGCTTTCTGTCTTTCTGAAGGATGTCCACTGATAGCTCTGACAGGAAATCAGGCTTCATAACCATGGTCCCATCTTGGCACTAACTCAAGTAATTCAGGACTAATTCAACTGTCCCCCAATAAAGACTTTTTCAAGGTCTTGATCAGTCGGTACTAAATGTTAATCAAGCTATCTGCACAAATACCAAAAGATGAAAAATTCCAAACTAATTATCTAAATGCAAGTATTACATCTACATTAAAACAACT